AACAATAACCGCAATTGAGCGCGACTTCCGTCCTCAGAACGTCAAGTCCAATCGGAAGAGAACGTTTAACGCAATTATCTCGTAAAAAATAAATGAATTATATTTCGTGAAAAAAAATTTATTCACGGTTTAAGAACGCAATCTTAAGACTAATAAGACTATTATTTTAGCAAGAAACGTTCCATTAATCCTGCTCTTGAAATCCTTTGAAAAATTCAACGAATTTCACTGTCATGACATTGATTCCATGCTATTTTGCGAGAATTTTCATACTCCGATTTTTTATGGATGTCAAAATATGAATGAGCTTCCCATCTGAAGAGTTTTCGAACAAAAAGAGAGCAGAAGGTTCACAAAATCGCCACGTTAGAGACAGCTTATTGTAAAATGTCGTTCTCACAAAAACGCATTTCGATTAATTACCTGGGTTTCCTATTCCGAACTTCTCTTCTAATTCCATCAAATACGGATGCTAAATTTCTTTATGGCGCTTGAGAACCTTCTATGCTTGGAAGTGATTCTCAAAACAGGGTACTGTACTGCACTTTATTTTGAGAAATTAAATCAGGAAATTGACCTTCTTAGAAGAATTTTCACTTTCGTCTTCCATGTTCCGAAATTTTCCGAAGAATTGAAAAATAGAAGCTTGAGATTGATAACATTGCAAAAGATTTTTAATATTTTATTTCGAGTGGACTTTACCAGGAATTCACTCTCTATACGAAATGAGCGTCGCTTCACATTTTCAGTTCGTTTAAATGTGTTTAAATGGAATAACGAGAAGGCTCCTGGCATTTCATTCAAGATCGATGCTACCTTATAAATTGCTAAAACGTGCTTTGGAACTTATGGCGTGAGAAGGAAGGATCGATGATTGGGGCAGCGATGTCAATTGCGCACCTTCCCGTGCCATCATCTATCGCATAAGGAGGAGACGATGGACTTGCATCCGCGTTCCCGTGGCCATTATTTCGTTATTGATGGACTGACCCTTGCTTTTTCATGTCTGTGGTATCCTGAATAGCAGCAGCAGCAGCAGGATCATGATAGGAGAGAGAAGACCTACGAGGAAAAAATATTTCCGCCTTGATATGATCTCGCCTTCCATACCGATACTCTCGGGTAGCAACTCGGGTTTCTCCCTGGCCATCATGTTTCACCCAACTTTTCTTCCCCACGCAAGCACCGCTTTTTTGTTTAAATATCTTTTTTTTTCAAGCTTTTATTGTCATTGTTGGTTGAACTTATTCCTGAAAGTCATCGTCTCACTCTTCCGCGAAAGTTTCAAGTTGGAGAATCGAAATTGTTTTTCAAAGATGCCGTTAAAGTACTTTACTGTAAAGTATTATCCCTCGCAGCTTTTCGTCTATACACAAAAGTCAACGTAATTAAGGTTTTCAGACCGATATGATGCGCCAGTTTTTTTTTTAGCAAACGCGAAAACTCGGTAGCCATCGTGGGTTTCAACACGAGCAATATATTTTAAGTGCGAATAATTTTTGTGTATGCATGGGAAAATGTATCGATTAGCCCGTTTTGATTTAATAGCCATCATCCGAGCAGATCGGAAATGTGTTTCGTCGATTCTGCTGATCTTGAAGGATTGAATGATTTTCTCTCTCTTGGGGCTATTAAGAAATATTTAGAGAATTTAACGCCGGATCACTTGCATTTTTAACAATTTTGAAAAATTAGTTTTCTGATGTCACTCTAATGAAAACTCTGTGAGACTGGAATAAAAGGAAACGAAGGAAAATGTTTATATAAACCCCTAATTTACAGTTTTACAGCAGAGTAACCGGGTTTTCGTGATCTCATACAGAAATATGTTTTGTCAATTTTTTATGGTCAGCCTTAGGTCAGCTCTAATTTCTGGCGAAGCTGGTTGCATTTCATAATAGTAGTTTTCTGACAGTGGGGAACCTTGACAAGGTCTGTAGGATTGATGCCACGTGGAATTGGGAAATCTGACAGAAACATTGTGCTACCCAAAAATAAAAAGGGAAGGCCCAGATGGGTTCATCATGTTTTCGCCCGGCCTTATCCAAAGTCGTAAAACACCAGGAATCAGACAAATTTCTACATATTTGCTGATCTGGTTTCACTCCGCTAAACGATGCTTGAAAATCGAGTGACCTTGTAAATTGGAACGTCCTAATCCATGTATTAATTCTTTGTGTCCTTTAGAGTGTAGGTCATATGAAAGAAAATCAGGTTCTGTACCGTACTGAGGCCAGAGTTTGCGCTTGCTGCTCAATTCTGTGTCAATACAGTACCATCGAGTTTCTTGATTGTGAAGGTCGTCTGATTAGTAACGGTTCGTTTTTTTTTTGTACTCATTCCAGCGGGTACATCCTGACGCTGCCGAAGGTTTTATGGGGCAACGTGACAGTATCTGCTCACCTCAACCTCTTCAATGTCGCTGACGAGGGATCCATCACCCTCAAGTTCATGCGAATCGATTCCAACGTCACGATTTGGGAGCAGACCGAAAAAATCAAAGGCGGTAAGTGGAAACAACATGCATTTTCTCATATGTTTTTTGCGTGAGTCTGGTTTTTTATGACTTCCCGGAACGTTTGAGACTGGAAACATGTGATCGATTTACGCTTGAAGCTCTGAGGGTAAAAGGCGGTAAGTGGAAACACCATGCATTTTCTCATATGTTTTTTGCGTGAGTCTGGTTTTTTATGACTTCCCGGAACGTTTGAGACTGGAAACATGTGATCGATTTACGCTTGAAGCTCTGAGGGTACGTCACATGTTTTCCTGGTATCGTCGTTTTTTTTTCGTGGGCCTTTCTTTTTTCTATTTTACGATATAAAAAAAGTCTGCGACGCATTCCCAGAGAGAGTCCTGGATTTTAAGGGAATACCTGTAATTTTCTTTTGCGACACAATTTCGAGCAACGAACCGAAACTTCGGATATTGATGAATGACTGGACAAAAAATATCTTTCCTCATAGGTACAGATCGCTGTGTTCATTAAATACATTTCAGGAAACGATCGGAAAGCCAATTTTGGATGAAATTGTGAAATTTAAAAATGCCCAGCAACCACAGATGGGTTTCGAATATGTGCCACAAGCCTACAATCGATGGTCCGTGATCGGCCGAATTCGAATAGATAAACAGTGGGAATTCAGTGAATTTTCGTAATTAACTGGTAATAATTTCGTATTTGTATCCTATTGGAATATCCCCAGGACAAATAGCTTGATCGTGTTTACTCATTTATTGAATCATGTCGAGGTTAAATCAAGAAGCTATTTCTCCTGCTAGCATTGTAAATTGTATTCGGTCGTATTCAGTAGTCTCTTGCATCCTTTTTGCACTTTTGGATTTTTGATGATTCCTGTGCTGAAAAATGCATGCAATTCCTCCGAATGATTTGTGTCGCCCTGGACTCGAAATTGTCCATGACGATGCGTTAAAGACGCAAATGTTTCTCAAACGCAATACTGTATATTCCTTGTCTGCCCGAGAAACAACGTTAGGCATGTACAATCACGAAGCTCGAATTACTGATTGTACCTCGGTTCAGCAATGCTCTCAGACAGTTAAAATGTGTGTACTTCGTTCTTTACGAGTGTAATAAATCCGGGTTTCGTGACGGACTCGTGTGGAAGCTCCCGCTCATCATTCGTCTGCTGCACAGACTCGGCTCTTGCAGCTCTTGGAAATGAATCGTGTCTGGGTTTTCCTGCTTCTACATGTCTGCGTCCCGCGCAGAGGATTATTTTTCATTCATTTTATTTGATGAAGCCGCGATTATTGCGTCTACCCGTCGACGTCAAGCGTGCGTTTTTAATTAGAAGGCAGAGCAAAAAGAAAAATAAATGGATGTGAGCGTGAATGGTAGTGAATACGAAGCGGATCCCGGATTTTACCCGGTTAACCTCGACCACGTCGTGTGTGTACACGCAGTTTGAAGCGATGCAATGTTTTTTTCCAACGCATGAGTCTTTTTTCTTTTTATTTTTTGATGGGTAAATCGAGTAGCATTTTCTATGCTTTCCTCGGTCAGATTTGTTTTTCTTGAGCCATTTCGGAAATAATTTTCCAAAAATGAAACTGATGTACAGTACAATACTCACGCGACTGTGCATATGAAAAATCGTCATCTATTTTTAATCAGAGATGCGTTCCTTAACTTGCATTGCTTTTTCATGGAAATCCACTCAAAATTTAGACTAACTGGAGATAAATCATCAGAAATCTAACAAGATACGAAAAAAAAAACTTCTGATGTTTCAAACTCTACATGAGCTCATATCACCGACGTTTTGGAGAAGCATATGTTCATGAGCACAACTAGCCATAGTCGCCTTTCCTAGATTTGGAGGAATGTCTGCACATTACTGACATTTACAAAATTGAATTCACGATGCTATTTTATTGAGCGACCTTTTAACAATACTGTATTTGATTATTCGTAATGTTCCATTATCTTCTCGAATACTCACAACTGTTCGCCCGTTTAATTGAGATTAAACAGGAATCTAATTGAATGATACCGCATTTCATGCATTTTTCATAACCGATTCATCAGAACTTTTGCGTTGTTTCTTATTGTAAAATTAGAAAATACATCAACGCATGCTCTCTGTCTTAAATTTAGATCGTGTACGCTTTACTTTTTTATACTTTATTCGAAGATGGAATCATGCTTGCAATCACCGAGAAACCTTCCAATATTTTTCGAAGCCATTAAATATCCTGTTTGAACAATGATTTTCTCTTCTATATGGGCGTTCACTTGCCGACGTTTCCCGACCTTGAAACGATTTGAAGCCATAAAAATAAAGTTACCTAACGAAATTACGAGGAGAAAATCGATTCTTCTGCGTTCCAGCCTTTCAAAATATGCCGTCGTATGCCGAATCCCGAACGACGTGGTTCTGGAAAGTTCTGAGAATATTTTGCGTGCCACTCTCGCCCTGGCACTCATGATGAGCACTTTTCTCTGATGACTTGCGGTAGTTGACTTTTTCGTGCTGCACTCCTCCTACATAAAGAAATAAAAACAGCCGTTATACGTATATATACAATTTTTAATATATTTGCGAATAATTTGAGAAAGAGGATTTCATTTCCTTGTTTAGAGGCTTCGAAGTCCGTGCCGTTGTACGTGCCATGGGTGTCCGAATCCCAAATGATGCAACTGAAGATCGAGGGAAGATTCGGCACTCTGTCACTGCCATCGTACACGATCGAGAATACTCAAAACGTGTACGTGGAGGCTCGACCCTGGATAACGTTCATCCAGCCTGACAAGGAGTTGTATTTGCCCGGCCAGCTAATCCGTTTCCGGATCCTCTCCGTCACGCCGGATCTGCGTCCGAGCCTCGAACCGGTGAGTGGTGGGGTCGGTTATGGGTTAGTCCACACTCTTCTTTTGTAGCTGTGACTTGGAAGATTAAGTGCTCGAGAGGAGCACTTTGAAATGCGACGTCAACAACAGAATCCGGTCGGGTTGGCATGGAAAAACCACCGACTGTTTTGTTCGTTTTGGTTTTAAAAAATTCTTAAGAATTGAATCGCAAATTCTGCACATGCTTTCAAATTACGATATTTCCATAATTTTGGTAGCTTTCAAGTTAGCAAACGTTCAATCTAATTTCTTCCGAATATTTGTGACTGGTCCTGATGTACATCATATTACGGCTGTAATCCTGTCAAAGCCATTTGAATAGACGTACCCAATAGAAATTTGCCGAAGTAGCAAGACAATATCATTTAAATTACAACATGGATTGCACCTACATATCCTGAAAAGCTTCATTTGACTCAAAATGTTCATTTCATTAGCTTTAATATGGTCATATGCATTGTATTCTACTGTGTTATGGCTATTCGAAATATATTCACCTAAGCTTTCAAATTGTGATTTCAAGGTTTTCATTCAGTTTTCTACAGATCGGATCAAACAGGGTAAGAAGCAGACGTTAAGCTGACTTAAGGGGTCATCATTCAATTTCTTACACTTCGCATGCCAATTTTTGTAAAGAAGATGAAGTTTTTTGAGTTTATGCAAAAAGATATTTTCATCGTCGAAATGTACGGAATTATAATTCAGCTGTTGCGGCTTCAGAGATGTAATTCTTTTGATTTTGTTCAAAAATAATTTTGACCTCGTCGTACCTCACGGTAGCAAAAAAGTGAATGACTACTTTTTGATTTTCTATTCACAAATATAGTATCTGGCATGAAGCGCAGAAGTTTCGTCGTCAATTTTTGCTCTGGCGAAATGAACAAAAATATTTTGCAGTGTTGTACGAAGAAAGAAAACATGATAAAAATAAAATGTTCAGTTCGTCTGATTTTCAACTCAATCCGCTAATTTTCGAAAGCTGCTTGAAAGTTCTAGCAACTTTGAGCGTAGGCAATCGTATGCATAACCCAATGCTTTGAATATTTCCTGGTTTGGAACTGCGATAAAAAAAAAAAATATATATATATATATACGGTATATATTTAATGAATACTGGTCCAGAATTGCGCAGTCTTCGCCCTTGCAGTATATTGCCTTCATGACTTGCGAGAACGTTCATGCTTTCAAAGAACTCTATCCGGAAGTACAAAACTGCGTACAGAAATATAAGCTCAAGGTCAAACGCGTCATGTCTATTTGATTTCCCCCTCAGAACGGAAATCGAGTTTTATTGGATGAAATGAAGGTAAACCATTGAACTCCCGGTCAGCGGAAGTAATTGAAGCTTTTATTATGCGTTTGTTTTTCCTAACTCGTTAATATAATTGTGGCGTAACAAATTTCATGGAATTGTATATGTGTCAGTGTCACAAAGTTCTTGGAGTCCTGACCACGATCAAGTTTTTTCCCGTTTCACAATGGTGTTCCGTTCTTTTTTGCTTATAGATTCATGCCATGGGCTCTTCAACAAGTTTTAGAAATAGGAATGTTTAGATTCGAAGAGTATTTGACTTAATTTGAGTTTGGTTATGGAGTGTATCGCATTATTTCATTTTTATGTCACGGATCAGCAGTATTTTTAAGATAAAGCTTGAAAATATTGTGCAGTAGTTTGAGCGTGTCTACAAAAATCTTAAAAATTAATGTACAATCTATTTTGCCTTCTCTGAAACTACTGTACAAAGATGGGCGAATTTTCCGCCTGAAAACTCACTTCGTGAAGAGAAACAATAAGCGGAATGCTTTCATGCGTTTGGTGGATTGAATGAAAAAAAAATTGGAAGTTGATTCCACCATTCGACAGTTCACGGCTTGTGCATATCATTGTATTGTAAATCAATTGAATGATGGAAAAACAGGTCGAAAAGTCAAGATTTATTTCGCTGAGTCTACGCAGTAGTTATTTCGTTGCCGCCGTTGGCAAGAGCAATCCCGGTTAGCTTCAATCTGAGATGATGATGAGTCTTCTTTCAGGACCTGGGCTTCACATTCACCACCACGCACTGACAATGCTATTTTTTTTGTGTCGGATCGTGTGTTTGTTCCAGATTGCCGACGTTTGGCTCGAGGACACGACGGGTACTCGCGTCGCACAGTGGAAAAATGTGCCCGTCATCGCCTACGTGGGCATAGCTCAAATGGAGTTCCAACTGTCCGAAGAACCACCACAGGTACTTTTCTTGTTACATTTTTATATTTTGGATGGTCAACTTTATTTTTGGAATCACGAACTGGAATCGCCATTTTAATGGACTTGAACTAATCAGCGATTCACTGCCGTTTCCGAATTTAGGATCTGATGTTGGATCAGAGATTGCCTAATTATTATGACGAAATTTGATACGTGACATTATAAAAAAATATTTGCCGTTCGATCGGTTAAATGAAACATTCCAGGATGTACCGAAACCCCGGTTATTTATTTTTTCAGGTTCTGTATGATTTTCATATTTTGGAAAGTTTTTCGTTCCACAAAAATAAATCCGACCTATCCTTTCAGTAGGTACCGAAACACCCTGTCAAACAAAAACCGGAAGCCTGGTATTGTCATAATAAACATGAAGAGCACGCTATCTCGTGAAAAGAGCTAGGAAATCATTTTTGGGTTGAAATAATTTCAAGAATCAGACACGAGTATCTGCAGTTTCAAAGTCAGTATACTCATTCACTATACAAAACTTCAACTGATGTACTGTACTGTATATTTAAAAGACTCTCTCTAAAACCCCATGTATTCACGTCCACCGCCAGAAATTGTAATACAGCTCTAAACTCTTCATTTTCAAGAAAGAGCAGTATTTGAAAGATTCGCACGAATGCATTATCCTCCAGAATATTTCGAAACGTCCATCTTTCAAATTATTCCGTGCCCGAAGTTGGAAAAGTTACAGGATTCGCCAGCAGACACATCCTAAAATCCCAGCACTCTTTAGTCATGAACCCCTTGTTCTTGAAGTGTTCAATTCGAAACTTGACATGTCATCTAGAAATAGTATGATTTCGAGTTGTCGAACTTCGTTAATGAAAATTTGCCTCGAGAAAATTGAATCTTTATTAATTTTTATTTTCTATTCGACACATAGGGAACCTGGTTCATAAAAGCGAAAGTCGACGGACAGACAGAGATGAAAACGATCCAAGTCTCAGAATATGTCTTGCCGAAATTCTCATTAACTATCGTGCGTCCAGACGTCGTCCTTGCAAATGCTGTGTCCATTCCTATTGAATTTTGCGCCAAGTACGTAGACACTGGTTTGAAAAAAATAAAATCCCTGGCGAGAAACGACTAAAATACTGCGGGTTCCTTGTTCGTAGATATACCCATGGGCAACCCGTGAAAGGAACGCTGAATGCCGAAATTTCACCGCGGACTTACGGGTACAACATCACGGAAAAGCGGCTGCAGGTGAAAATATCGGATCAACAGGTGAGGCCCCGCAGACGTGATTAAAAATTCCATTTCCTCGAAAAAAAATATCATCTTGGATGCACATTACATTCTGCACCTGCTGTCATACCCAGTTAGGCGTTTTAATTGCCATAATCCGGACATTTAAGAAGTCCATCGAATTCCAAGTCTGGGTTTTGCAACAAAAAGCAGGAGATAGCAGTCGTTAATTTTTTTTTTGCAAAATACGTTGATTAGGTAATGCTTCTTTGTTGGAACTTTTCTGGTGAGCGTAAAATTATTTTAATGCCGTCATGAACATCATGCATATTTCACCGTACTGTATTCATTCCATTATAAACCTCAGTTTCATGCTCGTATGTTCGTAGCCCAGCGTTCTAAATTTGGCTTGGAAGTATTGGAATAACGATACTGGCGATTTTAACAAGGAGGCGCTCCACATACGTATTAAAGTTAATTTCAGTACCCGTAGATATGATTTTAATCCATAAGACGCAATTCCCTTGGGCCGCAACAATGGCGTGAGGGATTCTTTAAAGTTCAAATGATATCCTGCTCAAGCAATGGCTATGAATGATCTCCGTGGTAATCGTTGCTGTCTTTTTTTTTTTTTTTTTCCTCGAATGACTGCATAGATATCCGGATGCCACAAAGTTGTGCTGACAGAGGCCGAGATGGGTATGGACAACGGGAGGTTGCGTCCTTACGGCATACAAATCGCCGCTTCCTTCAAGGAAGAAGGCACAGACGTCAAAGACGACGCTTCTGCTTTGCTCAGCTTCTTGTTCCACGAGGTCGAGCTCAACTTTTACAAGGACACGCCGCAGTTCTTCAAACCCGGTTTGGATTTCGACGGCAGGGTAAGATTATTTTCGAAATTCTATCTCCAATCTGAAGCATTTAAAATGCGTAAATTTTCGAACCGTTCCCGGAGAAAAGTTGTATTTTTTTATACGAAGTTTGGAAAAGACGAATTTTCTGATGTCTGTAGAATTCATCTTCCCTGTCTCAATCCTTCCTAAACGAATTTTTTCAGTAGGATCTCATTACAACGAATTTATTTTTCTGTTTCTGTCTAAAAATTGCAATGTTATTTTAATTTTGCTTTGACGAATTATAGTTTACTACAAAACTTTTTAAAGGCCCCAAACGCTTTGGTGTAACGAGATTCTACTGTACAAACGTTTTCCCGGATATTTACTAAGAACAATATCAGCATGAAACGCAGGGGAAAAAACAGACAATACAGTACTTGATCTTTCTTATTTCCGTGAAGCATTTACGCAAATAACCGAGCAGCGGACTTTTTTTTTTTAGTTTCATAATTGAAGGAGAAACAGAAGCCTTTTCTTGAAATGGTTTCAGGGTTTTTTTTTTAATCTCAAAATGTTTTTAAATTCACTGTACGATTAAGTGGCTGAAATTTTTGAATTGTTGCAGGTCAGAGTTCAGTCGGCTTCGACGAGTCAGGCCGTTTCCGGAGAGAAAATCGAGATTTGTGTGTCCGGAAAGCAGCCGACCGGAGGGTTTCAGTGGACGCCGTTCGGATGTAAAAACCTGACCTCAGGCGAAGATGGTTACGTCAAGTTCACTGTGCCGCCGGTGTCTTCAAACTTCACCGAACTCACCGTTTCCGTGAGTTTTGCGCCATCTTCTTCCCCTCCCCCCTGGCTTATTTCCGCCTCTTGAAAAACAAGGATGGATTTTCAAATAGGACGTGAATATTGTCGTCGGTCGTGACGAGAAATAAATGCATGCTATGCGGTTCGACGATAAGTTCTTCACGGAACGGAATTTCCAAAAGAGAATATTCTGCGAAAATTTGATTGCATGTTTGAAAACGTTGAGAAGAGGAAGCGATGCGCTGAAAAGGGGTGAAAAAAGCACCGTGTGAGGATGAGACTTTTTCGCTTCTTCCACAGAATTGCAATGCGCGCTCCGTGTTATTAAAGATGGGTGTCGTGTTTTCCCTTTGATGTCATATTGCATCAGACTAGACGGGATCTCTTTACATATTTATGCACTGAGAGGATTATACACTTATTTGAATGCAAGAGTGGCAACCATGTGGATCATCGAAGAGACTCCGGAATTTTGTAATTACATGAATTTCATTTGAAACTCTTGCGCGCTGGAGTGTCCGAAAACTGCTCACAGCTGTGAATTTATAATTTCCGCTGAGTAATTGGAAGGATGTTGGTCTCTTTCGGGTTCGAAGATGGCTTGCGAACACAATTCACATATTTCTAAGCTTTTTTTTGAAAACCCGCTATCGTCATACATTCCTGTGGGGAGTTGACATTGGTTACGATTTGTGCCACTGAGTTGAATTTATGTAAGCAATGATCATTACTGTGAATCTCGGTATATTGGTGGGAATCCCCATTATGATTAAGCGAGGTATTTTCTTGATTCAGACTGGAACTAAGGGAGAAACTTCTGTTCCATGCAGAAGCCGGTGGTTTTTGAAGTTGCTATCAAACTTTCGAAAGCCGACCCGTTAATCCTAAAATAGCTTTACTGTATGAAGAGGTAATTTCAAAATCTCAAGTTCATCTGCCTCAGAAGTTATGAAAGTTGAGGTTGGATTTTGAGTTAAGCTTCCCTGATATCTTGTGAAATTTTAGTCCCCCGAATAGCACTCTGACTTCCTTTGTCAATAGAAATAACGAAAGGTCATAAAGCATGCATTCAATAATCACTAATGACAAAATATCGCTGGAAATCCTTAGATGAAAATGTCAACTATTTATTTTGTTTCAGAACTTCGATAATTGTTGGGGCTAATCAGCATTAACGGCAGAAAAATTATCTCACCCGTGTTTTGGTGATTTTTTGTGGTATGTATTAATGTAACGTATTTCATAATATTTTTCAGGAGGGTGTTTTGATTCCCGGACTAAGTCAAGACGAAGTTGTCTTTCATTTGTTCGAAGATGGATTTTTAATCTTATTTTTCATCGATCTGAACAAATTTCTTAGCTACCATGGTCCGAGAATTGAAAATCATACACGAGTGACGGTTTTAATTTTTTTTTTCAAACTTTAAATTATCACTTCAAAACCATCCAATACTACTAGCAAACTATTGATGGATTATGAAATCGTCACTGGAAAATATTTGGATTACACTTTTTGTCCCACTTGGTTGCAAATACTGTAGATCTTTTAGGCAATTTCTGTAGATGATCAAATCTGATACGTCGCGTGAATGAGGCTGGTAATGGGTTATGAAGTGATGGTTAAAGTTTTCGGCAAGGTAATGATCTAGATTCTAGAGAGCAGACAATCTTTTGGATTGTTGTAATCATCACAGATTGTCTGGTTTCTGCTTGAATGGAGAAGTTTTTAAAATCGGTCTGATCTCAGGAATCAGACACCCGTCGTACTCCAGGCGAATATAAAATAATGCTGATATTTTCCCTCCGACGGAACTTCCCGAAGGAACGTCCACGCGTGAATGCCTGAGGCGGGGTGACGGTAGCAGTGGGGGGGAGTGATGATGGGGAAGTTTGCCTGAAAGTGGCCCGAGGGAAAGAAGGAAGGGGGGGGGGGGGGGGATTGATGGGTGGTAGAGAGAAGAGGCGAGATTGTCTTGACACAGTGGCTTTTTTCATTTCCGCGCCCGCAGGCGAAAGCTGTGGACAGGCCGAACCAGGCGTACCCAAAGGAACAGCAGCGGTGGGGCGACAGGATGTCGCAGGCAGAGTCGTCGCACTACGTCAAGGCCTGGTTTTCCCCGTCGGAGTCCTACATCAAGTCGGACTCGGACATCGTCGGGTCCCTGCCCTGCAACTCCAAGGCCAGCATCCGCATCCACTTGGTCACCACGTCCGACCCACCCGATCATTTATACTACGAGGTAAGATACTCTGTTTTTTTTTCCTTTTATTTTTTAGAACTCTTATTGCTTTCAATATACCCCCATACCCCGTGGTGCTGACCACTGACTTGGGTCACATTTTACCGATGGCACACACATCAACCACTCCCATGACCCCGAAGTAAATTGAAGAAGAATGTAAGCCCTATAGAAATATTTCTGGAAATCATCCAGAAATCGTCCTGTTGGAATGTGATGCTGATGAAAGGTATCTTCCCTCCGTTCGTAGCGAGAACAGTTGCCAAATGAAATGTTTCTTCTTCCTCATTCATATTGATAAAATTACTACAATACAAGTACAGTCCTATGTTTTTCCTCCGGTTGCTCCCGATTTCTTTTCCGCTTTTCTGGCTGCAGGTTTGAATACAATTTTCAGATAACTCACATTTCAGAGCGCGTCCTTCTCAACTACAATACTGTACTATACAATTACTCGGTGTCCATAATAGCTTGTAGAAGCCCCAGCGATTTTTTTCAAACGCTACCCTGAATGAAGTAAGCAGTATTTCCCAAATTTGTGGAAGGTAATTTGGCTTATTTGTAAAAATTGGCCGAAGTATTATCTTTCGAATGTGATGACGACGAAAAATACCTTTCGTCTATTCAGATGAAAATTACTGTAGTTGCGAACTGAAATCCAGCGTCTTCCAAATTATCTTTTTTACTATAGGGCATTTTTTGGCTGAACCGGCACAATTGCGAATGTATAAAATCGAAACATTTCTCCCGAAAATCGTTGAACGCTTTTTTCCAGTCATTTATTCATGAGTTCGTTTTCTTTTCATGGGAATGTAAAACTTACCCACGTTCTAGTCCTAGTCTTGGCGGAGGTTGTAACAAAACATTTATCTACCGGAATTATTTGGGGAACCCAGTCCCTGAACCAAAGGCATGATCAAGTGTGCATTTCTCCCTGAAGAGGAAGTTTTCTTCCCTAGTCATTCCCCGAATAGTCCGACAGAAGTCACCGGGTTCGCACATGCCCGGAAGTTATTTCTGCGATGATTCTCAAAACTGTCCAAAAAATCGGCATTGAATGTACAGTACTGTACTCTGAGAATCTTTTGATCATAATTCTGATAATACTTCAACGTAGATTATCCGGTTGAACGAATTCATTTTCTTCTGCTGATGTCATTTCTGAATAATTGAAGGATCACGGATATTCGAAAATGGCAAAATGTAAGTGGATGAAGTCTGATAATTTAAAGGGAACAATTGAAAAACCAGTGAAAAAATATATTCGCTGTAACAAATCTTTAATAGCTTCCATAATGACGGCGTAATGAAAATACCCTCAATAAATTTATATTAACCTGACGAAATATGTAAGATTTTCAAAAATATTAAAATTTCCTGGGATCATGAATGCAGTCAGTTTGTGACACGTGACGCGCTGAATAATTTTTCAGGAGAATTATTGATGGAATTAACGGTTAAGAACAGCATGAATGAGGTTCTGCTGTGTGTATGGAAACATTTTTATTCCTGGTTCTCTTGAGACACAAAGCTCTGGTTTCAATTCAGTGTGTTCATTTTATTCGTCGTATTTTCATGAAATCATTTCGTAGATATCAAATGGAATCGCTTTGTATCGTTCCATCATCGTGTACATAGCCGGGTTGGAATTCCGAATTGATCGCAATCGATACCAGCCAGAGACGATAGCTATTGTATTTGATCAAGAGGAAAGCTAACGTCGAAAAATGCAGTACCGTGATGATGGATTGGATGGAAAACTTTGAAAATCGATTCAATATATCTTTTTCTCGACGATTGCGACAGCTATTTGAAAGTATTGGCTCCACGCTTGGCCAAACTGTCTCTGCTTTCCAGACGAAATATTCTCAAAGGTCTGTGAACAGAATTCAAAATTTTCAAGAAAGTACCTGTTTCGAAAGATTTAATTCAAGGTTTTTTATAGTTTTTTTAAATATCTGCTACATTTTAATTCAACTTTCTGAACTGAAAATCTGCCGTCTCTCTTCCCATGGTCCTTTTTTGAAGTTGGTAAAACCAGTACAGTTGGGTTTTTAGGATAAGTTCTTGATTTGGTTTAATTTCGAACTTTATACTGTAGTGTTCAATGGCACTTGCGTGCTTTTCACGTCTATCTGTTTTTATTATGAAGTACGCGCTGTAATTGTGGAATTCTGGCACCTTCGGGTCAAGATTTTGTCACTGGACGATGAAAAAGTTGACTCGGAATTGCCGCAGCAAGAAAAAAAAAACGAAAACGCACGAAGTGCAGTACTTTGACTGCGTTTGGTACTGATGTCACTCGCATTGTCGTTTGCGAAATCGACTCGGAATTATTCGTTGCTGGAGCCGAACATCCGTGACCCAAAAACTTGGATGAATTTCCCCAAGCTGAGCTCAATGCATCATTCGAGCGAGACAGCACCTGATGCTACTTCCCTGTCGGGTTCTTCTTGGATTCTCTGATCAAGAACAAAAATATTGCACTCGGCTTGGGACGAAATATGTCTCCTTCTGCTTAGACTCTCTGTAAAGGGAAGCAATTTCGGGTCTCCATATATCCTCGCTCCGCATAATGGCGTACAGTTGAAGCGGGTCTTTCCCCGCGCCAATATCGCTGCTTGTATATATGTACTTGATTGCGTTTCTACTTTCCGCCTTGGAATTCTAGACGGGGAGTCAGGTGCGAGGGCAGACATTAAACTTTCTCGTAAAAATTCCAATGAAAAAAAAAAAACTGCTGTAGAAAAGGGATGATTTGCTGGCGAATTCTCCCTTGACGATTGGAAAAACTGTTCAGATCCGTGATTTTATTTCTTGAAAATTCTGTCCCGGATTCAGTCTTCGTGTGAATACCATTGTGTTTCCTGAAATAATAAGATTTAGCCATGGAGTAAACCCTATCATTATTTTGAGACAGTGATACTCGAAGGAAAAAAATCTTCTCTGACGCATTGTGCAGCGGAAAGCAACTTTTATTCTTCGTGATGCAGTAATGACTCCAAAATCAAATAGCACTAAGCTTATTTCGTACTTGACTTGTTTGCCACTGATCTGACTTACCCGGGAAGTTTTTTTTCCGGGGAAGTAATTCCTCAAACTCCAAATCAAGCGAACACTCAAAAGCACTCGGATATTCGAAAAACATCGAAACCATCGAAATGTATCCAAACTCTCGAATCATAATTACAGCACAGTATTATTTTTCTGTTCGCCTCATTACGCGTAATATTCCGATTAAAAACCGAAGAAGATTCAATATATATTTTTAATGTGATAATGTTGGTTAAACACTGTATTGAAATCATGCTTCACATTCGAAGTATATACAGTATCATGGAATCGTAAACTGAGGATCGAGAAATGTCAGAGATAAGCTTGTTTTAGCAAACCATGGTCGAAAATTTATCATATTTTCGCAGCTAACGTACTCGAGGATACGTTTAAAGTACAGTAAATTTAAGACACAAACAATCTCTTTTGGGAGCCAACACTGATATTTTTTCTACTTCTTGAGGTCCTTGATAGAGTCGGAATCTCTGCCTGAAGAGCATGCGAAGTTTAGTAAAGCATTTTTTGAAGAAAATCAAAATCTTGCGTACAACTCCGCACGTGATTTTTCAGATGACCGCGGTTTTATCGCCAGTTTTGAAGCATGTTGAAAACGTTTGTTTCTTTCAACTGATGCGCTATAAGAAATCAATTTTAGTTCTTCTTTAGTGAGCGAAGAACCACATTGTACAGTACTTGTTCGAAACACAGGTTTTTTGAAACTTCATGATGAACGATTTATTGTTAATGTTCAAGAGTTCGACGCTGCGTATTTCCGTATTTACTCAATTTACACGCTCCCCTGTGTAAGATGTGCACCATGATTTCATCGACAAAAATCAGAAAAAAGTTCCTACAAGAACCAATTTAATATGCATATTTGTGTACGATGAACACCTGATTTCTGTTGTCACATTTTTGAAGGAGATTTCGCTTGGTACGGGGGTAAACAGGCGTACGAAAGAGTAATGCACTGTACGTATTTCATGTCGCGACTTCGGAAAGTGAAATGCTTTTGAAAAAAAATTACTTGTAAGTGCTAGTACAGTATAAATAGGCTCGATTGCACTCTCCTGAATTTCTCCATTGCTTTTTTTTCTACAGGTCAAATCGCGTGGCAGCAAAGTACAGCAAAGCAGATTTGCTTTGCCGGCCAACACGGAAACTGTACCTGAGTCCGCACACTCCGTTCAACGCATTGATTTGAACTCGTCGTACGTTTTCGACTCAAAATCAAATGTGACAAAGTTTTCCGGCATTCTGATCGTGGACATCACTCCCGAAATGTCTCCGTTGGCCAACGTGGTCATTTATTATGTCCGCAAGGACGGGGAAGTCGTGGCTGATTACATCAAGCTGTCCGTCGAGAAGTGCCTTAGTCATCAGGTACGCGTGCGAATAATTTGCTTGATCAAACATTTTTTGATTATTGTACAGTATAACATTTTTCTTATCGATGACCAGTGTATTCCGATTTCCGATTCAATAAAGGATATCATGTATTCTTTTTTTTAAAGCTTCATCCAAACGTCCTTCGTACTTTTAAAATGCTAGCATAGACGCCTGGAAATGTGAGCAGAGACAAAAAAAATATATAGCTTGATTTTGAGCTTTTGTTGAAGAAAATCATTTTCCGCAAGCTAGTAATTTACTCGTATATGCTCGACAAATGCGTTTTAGTTCTGCTCAACTCAAAATACTTCCATTATAGTGGCTTCGATTTTTCCAGCTGCATTTTTAATCTTGCCAAACTCGACCGATGAAGACTTCATCTTTGAAGACTTCATTGTGTTCGAAAAATATTAATTCGGGAATGAAGTGAAAATCAAACTCGGTAACCCGGGAATAGTGCAGTACTTCTTCTTCGCTTAATTTTTTTTCATGAAGTTATAACATGAAGTATGCTTGGTCCTGAGGGTTTGATGCACCCTTGAACCAGAGCAGAAAAATAAAATTTAAATTTTGGCTGCCTTTTCACGCCCAGAATAACATACAGTAGTTTGGTTTTTACGGGTTTCGACGTCTTTTCTGAACCTGACTGAATTCGTTCGAGAATGTTTGAAGCATTTGCACTTCTTGTTGACATATTTGTTATTAGGAATGAATTGATGTTCGAATGCACCAAAAATGATCGTTCAGTAATTTCAGTCAGTGTATTGATGATATTTTTCCCGTGTCCTTTTGTTCGCAAGGTTTCCCTGCAATGGAGTAAAGTAGAGGATTACCCTGGTGCATCTGTTCAATTCACGGTGAAAGCTGAGCCTGAATCTGCATGCGGAATCCGAGTCGTCGACAAGAGCGTCGATCTTCTCAAGTCCTCCCAGCAGCTCAATCTGAACAACGTTTTTTCTCAGCTCAGCCGCTTTTCTGAATCCTATTCAGGGCCTGTTATCAAGGATGACTGGGAGTACTGTCAAAAACGCAGTAAGTACAATGCATCCCCTTTTTTTACGAATGACACCGCGTCACCAATTATTCTCCTTCACTCATTTTTTGGCATTGCGTAATCACACCATGCTCATTCTGACGACACCACCTCCATTTTCTCATCCGTTTGACATATGCTGCTGCAAGCAAGGATAATGATGATGTTCTGTGTTGTTGGGATGATGTAGTGAATGAAAGGACGACAACTACGACGACGACAACGACAGAAGCGCCGACAACAGAAGCGACGAGTACGACGGACTCGAAGTCGTCAGAAAAAACTGCGTCGACGACTACTACAGCACCAACAAGACCAGTTCCTCCGATCTCAACCCCTCACATTGTGCCATAGAAGTTGATGAAGAGAAGGGCACGGCTACGGAACCTACGAAAGCTCCACTTATATTTCAGCCTTAGAGTACTGGCTCTCGTCTAAGCTTTCAAAAAACTCACGGAACTTTACTCCAAGAAATCCAGCCCAAGCTTCGGATTTAGAATCCGCAAAACAGCTGAAGGATTTATAAGAATAGATTTACGTAAGCCTATGTTCATTTTTTTAAGGATTTATTTTGCTTTCATTATTCCTGACTTACTTGGAAAACTTCATGCTCACCAATAGACATTCAAGAACAATTTTCAATCAGCAACAGTGGCCCAGATTCGCGAATATCATAACAATTTTTTTTTTCAAATCAAAAGAAAAAAGAAGACCCTTTGAAGCATTTTTTTGTGTGCTTCGATTGCCGAAAGATCCATCAACAAGCATACAAATGTAGCAAATCAGCTTTATTTCCTTTTAGTGCTTCCAAACGTGGGAATAAGCAGAAGATTGACGAAATTTATGTGAAGCAACCTTCGTTGTAGTTTTTTGATGCGTGAATCTTGAATCTAGGTATACATTCGGGAGCTTAGGTATTGAATGTATGGGAGAATCATTTTACATACCTTGTGAGCTAGCATTGAAAAACCTTGGTTTAAATTTGAAAAAATCGTATTCCTGCTTTAGAATCCTACGCATTAAAACTTCATTATGTAGTATCTCTTGTACAAACTTTCAGACTCAACCACATACGGTTAATTTAAGTGAAGTCTTTCAGTACACAAGGACCGAGTAGTACCACGAAGTAGTTGCAGAGCGTTTCATGAGCTTGTCCTACACTTGGAAGTCATCAATTATCATTTCAGTGCAGTTTCCGTCTTCTACTCCAGTTACTGATAGTGATGATAGGTACTATTTGAAGCATAAATAATCTTATGTATATATCCGAGATTCCAGCTAGCTAGTGCAACGTCATCCACTTTCGCTGTTACGACATAAATCCCTCGGGGGAAGGGGGTGTGAAAGTTTTTTCAGCTTCAGATACTTTCTGGCAAAAAAAACTGGAATTTCCATGTCTTTAAGTTGAATTTATGATAGTGAAAAATAATTTTTCTTCATTTGTTTATTTATTCAGAATGCGGGAATTCTGGCCATGACTGATCTCACGCTTGAAACTAGGCCGTGTCAGGAAGGACATCTTCGGCCGATGCCCATCTGGAGAACTGCATTTGGTGAGATAGCGAAACGAAAGAGTACGTTATCCTCCTACGGGAGAAAAACAATCAATTTGCTGTGCGTAACTTACAATACGTTGCTCGACGAATGCACAGCACCTTTATGATGCAGAATCCTTGACGAAAATTGCACATTCAGCACTGTTCTAATACGAGGGGAAATCAATCTTGAGAAACGCTTGATCTTTCAAGCACAAGCACTGAGGTAGCAATTTAATAGATTTCTTTGGTGTTTTGGTTCTCTCCGTCTATCCTGTCTGTCAACTTCAGCGTTGCCATCTACTTCTACTACTGGTCTGCGGCGCAGGACAGTGACGAGAAAAACCTATAGCTTGCAAGGAAAATCCTGTGCGTAATCGTGTATTTTGCAAGGGATAACCGAAGACCCTCTAAAACTCTTACGCAAACTATCGGACAAAACCATCGACACGAATACGCCATGCACTAGTTGCGTGCAGCTACGTATTTAAACTTCGTCTACACTTCTTGTCAATTTATGAAGTAATACTCAGTTGTGAGGAACGGCGATTATATCCGGAATTCAGGGCAGACTAAATATTTTTTTCGTAAACTAAAGTATATATGATATCCGATTGAAAAGACGTGGAGTTGAAGTTCATTAAATGTTCTTCTGGATTATATTGCGGAAAAGCGCGTTGGTTTTTTTTCTTCAGAGAACTATGTTTAATTTTCCGTGTCGGTAGTACTAAAGCAGCTGAAGAAGCATGATCGTTGAAATATTTCAGGTTAGAATCATAGTAACTTTAAATTATTAATTTTTTTTCAACTTGATGAATCAAATCCTTCAGGGCGTTTACCCATTTAAAACCCGACCTTCTTCAGTCCACTCTGTAGATCTTACTTGTTTATTTTGAATTTGTTCTGCAAGACTGAAAATTATAAAAAATGTCTTTCTTGTCCGCGGAACAAATTTTGAAACGCCACGTTCATTTCGGTGACCGAGAGAAAATTGAACTCAAGAGAATTTGTCACGTATGGCTGGTGTGGAAAAAAGATCTGTTCATCTTGAAAAGCATAATTTTGAACGTTGGCGTCAGCTTAAAAGATGAAATTACAGTATTTATGTTTTCAGTCATAATGAGGAATTTTCGCTCAAGAGTTGTACGCATTTTTCGTGGGCGTACAAGCTTCCTAGGCTTATTTCATCATTTTTTTTTTCAAAATGGTTTACGCCACTCAGCGAAGAAACGTCAGTCAGCCATCTGTCGATACAGTACTGTATATTATGATGTTTGCTGAATAAAATCACTGCTTATTCCATACCTCCAAATTAACTTCGCAAACTTCAAATGAAATGCTCGCTGCATAGATTTATCAAAGAATAATTGTGAATAATTCCTCCGCTTGAAGGTAAAGCTGCGAACATGTTTCGGCGATGTAATTTTTCAGATGCATTTTTTCGGTCCCACTGCTGGGGCAGATATTCGGAAATGGTCGCATTAAACGGAGCAGAACATATGAAATCCTTTCCGTGTCGGGCATTCCCGTGCGGCTGATGAATGATGCCTCTGGTCTGGATGAAGCATTCCCAGCTTTCTTTTTTTCTTTTGCACAGGAACTGCTTTTGTGCATGATGAGCCAGATTTTTATTATTTTTTGCATCGAAACCCGACTGCGTTCGACGCGTATCGCATGTCCTCAGCAGTGTGTATGTGAGGCGTATGAGGCTGTCGCATGGGCTAAAGGGAGTTGCGTAATCAGAATAGGATTGCAACACAGTGACTTTTTTTTCTTTTTTCCAAAATGAGTCTTCGCATGATTGCGTCTGAATCAATCAATATGGTATAGTTGCATGGAAAAACGGAAGGGCCCAAGGTTTTCCCGATTGTGGTTGACAACCTCACGTATTCCCGATAGTTTCATGATTCTCAATTCCGCTGGAAGATGAGGCAGGTGCGAAAAGTTGGATTATCCTTCGAAAGAAATACTGTAGTTTAAATATTTTCTATGATCCTTCCCTTATTTTAAATATACTGTAAGCAGAACGTTATTTTGTCCGCAGAAAACGGCGTCGCGTTTTTGGCTGTCAAGCATTTCCCATTTCCCCGTCAGAAAATTTAGAAAAGTAAAAGTAAAACTCTGAATACGTTGTGATGTCGTTGGAAAACTCCTCACGTGTATTCACGCCGGAAAATGTGACACGATGAAACTGCAAGAATGAAAAAGTTTGAATTTCCCTGTCACGGAAAACAGTGGAAGAGTCGAAATATGAAATTTTTTCCCTTTCCCCTCCACAAAAGATTTGCTGTCTGCTGTCGTCCTTAATTTCTCTTGGGGATCCTCCCTTGACAAGCATATCAAACGTCGTTGGATATTTGTCTTCATATTGCCGCATTTTTCGTCCCATCACCTTCAACGACGAAATTATTTCAAAATCATTCTGCCCAAAATTTTGCTCTGAAAAAGGTTTTATACTCCCTCGATTTGCTCAGATCGGTGTGTTACGTCGGAATGGCTTTCGAAGAGAATGGAAAGGGATTCAAGTCCGTTTTGAATAAGAAAATTTGAATTACTGTACTGTACTACATTCGGAGTATCATTCGAAAAGATTATGCTTTCGATGAAACATTTAAATATTTAATGAGTTGAAGGTAAAAAATATGTATTGACGAATTGAATGTTGCTTTCGTAGATTGTTCTTGGCATTCGAAATTTCGCAAATTTTTCATGTGGCTTCTGATAATATCCTAAGAAAATCTCCTGTTGAGCTACATCTTATTATGCTACACTAGCCCTGATGCAATTTTTTTGGTTTTCAAGAGAAGTAATAATACCATAAAATATATTCAATGCAAAAACGGTTTATTTCTTTCTGAAACGGGCACAGTTCCGTAATTCCATGGTTCAAGTACTTCAAGTCTGAGCTCAAGACAGGATTTCGCAATGAAATCTGACGCATGAACTCATCCTGGTTGCTTTCTGCACTTCTTGGTGAAACAGCTGCGCCGGAATTTTTGAATGACTTCGAGGGTGACGCAATCCGTCAGCCAGCCGCCGAGCCGCCTTTGGAGCTTTTCAGCTCTACTGACACTTCGGCGTCTTACGGAGGCGGCGTTCAAGTCCCAAAACCGTCGCTGAAGCTGAGGGATTATTTTCCGGAAACCTGGCTTTGGACAATCGAGCTCGTCGGAAGCGAAGGTTGGTTCATTTCCGGGGTCCTTTCTCGCACTGTACAGTACGGTAGCTCTGGAACTGAATTTATCCCTATTTACTTGAATACAGGTCGAGGCTTTAAAAAAGGAAGCCCATATGAAACCCAACAAAAAAATTTTGTTGTCTATGATCGAGATTTATACATTTAACGTGCCACAGTAGTGTACTATATAATAACACTGGAGATCATGTAACATCTGCAAAATAATGGAATTGTTTACAGGTAGTGTACATGTTAATGTTTTCCCCCCTATGATAGACGTTTTTCCCCCTCGCCCTTTTAAATTTTTGTGATCTGCACATTTGTTTCTATTAAAATGTTTTCCCAATATCAGAAATGAGACCCATAATCGTATCAAAACGACGATACAAATGGTCCAGTGCAATTGGCGGCCCTTCCATTCGTAAATCACTATCCGCTCCAACTCAAGATTTAAATCGCTGTTTACATGCGTTTTATGTACGTCGTTTGTTTTCGTTTGTGAGATATAATCTGAAAATATTTTAAATATTGCTGCGGACGACATTGCAATGCCTAACTTAACTTAGCCACAATGTGCAAATAATTAATTTCGGTCGAGAAATGATGCCAATTTATTGTGAATTTTATTATTTTGACTTTTTTCAAGTGCAAATTCAAACGATGAATCTATATTTTAAAGTTACCGTTTTCTTCTTTTGGAATGATTTCAACAAAACAATTCGACATGTTCAAATCCTCCAATATATCCGGCGATTGCCAGGTCTCTGTTTGATCAAATAATTTCTTTAAAATTATTTTGGATTATTGATAGTAAAGAGCATCTGCATTCTATTCAATAAACCCTCAAATGCCCTCTATTCAATAAATCCAACTCCAAAATTATGTTAGTGTCACAGTTTCTTGCTTGACGGCAGAATATGTATGAAATGATTTTCAAATTTGAGAAATTCCTTCGGAACTTTTTGGAGTGTCATAAATTCGTGATATATTCCGTCAACTGTGATGCTCTTGAAAGAAATTTCCATCTGGTGAACCGATGCACTGGCTGCAAAAAAAAATGAGTTGAATCAAATGCCATACATCGTTAAAAATGCAGTATTTCCTTTCTGGATCTGCGTTACAACGCACTTTTATACCAGTGCAGTGTATGGCAATATATTCTAGAATCTAGATCATTTGAACCGCGGAACATGCCGTCACTCATCTCGACGAATAAATCTTAGTTATCCGTTTTTTTCATATTACCATACAGGTTCTGTGGTGAAGGACGAGAAATTGCCTCACACAGTCACCGAATGGGTGGGCAGTGCGATTTGCTCCAACAAGAAGCACGGGTTCGGGATCTCAAACGTGGCCAGGATCAAAGCCTTCCAACCGTTTTTCATTCAATTCACGATGCCCTATTCCGTGAAGCGTGGGGAGAAGATGCCGTTGAAAGTGTCCATTTTCAATCACATGGACCACGACATGCCCGTAAGATTCCTCCTCTGCTGCGTGTTCCCCCTACATTCCCTAGCTTGTTGTATAGCCGTTGAGTCCCTCGCTGTAGATACCGGATATATTTTTTGCAGCAATCCACTCGAAAAATTCCGAATAAAAAAGAGGAATGTTTATTCCCATCTTCAAGTACGGCATCAACACAATAATGGAAGACCGCTCCGTATTAAATGGGAGAAAAGCAATTCATCGCGCATCAGAACTTCAAGTTTTTATTTTTAACTCTCTGACAAAAGAGTTATTAGCCAGTACGTGTCACTATTTTTTTGCTCACAATGAACACTGCTGTAACTGTGCCGTACATTTCTTAGTTTAAAATTGAATCAAACCCTTTTCTTTTTACTGGATGAAATTTACGATCCTTAATAAATTGGTTGAGGCCTCAAATAGGTCCAAGATTGTGAACTTGATTCAAGTTTCAAAAATAATTTTCTTGTTGTTCCCCATACAATAATGACCGAAAAAGAACTGGTGTGATTCGTATGCCGAAATGCGAGTTAAACAACTTTTTTTTTAAATCGGCTTCTCTCATATCTACGACAGACTCTAAAATTCGAGGAGTACGACTATACTGAAAACATTTTCCGTGGTCCCTGCTTTATATTGTAGAAATGTGTAGGATTTCCAGCAATTTTTTATTCCAATCCGTTCACTTGAAACTTCAGGAGTTTTGTGGTCACAGAATACCGTAAAAAAGGAGAGTTTTTTCCATCTTCTCCGACGTGAGTTTTCCTTGGAAAATACCTTAATTGGGACTGTTCGTGAAGCTGAATTTTCGACTCTTCCAGATGACGAAAATAAGGTACAGGAATACAGTTATGGAATTCGGTTCTGACGATCTTCTAACGGAAAAGCAAACTGACGGATCTAAAATCAATTGAATTATGCAGAGCATGCGAAGCTTTTGATGAAAACCTGCATATAAATCCGCAGTTCTTTTCACAAAATTATTCATGCGTTCCACAGATTTCGGTCACGCTGGATGAATCAATGAACTTTGATGTTGCTGATGACGGCACGAATGTGTATCACTTGTGCTTGAAGAAATCCGATTCCGAAGTGGTCACTTTCAATTTGACCTTCGCTGCCTTGGGTGATATCAACGTCACGGTGGAAGCCGCGACTAATCCGACGTACGAGAAAGCATGCGGTCCGGAAACTATTCTGGCTTTCCAGTGAGTCTTCGCAATTCCTTAAACGATGTGTTCCTGTCTATGATTCTAAACATGTATGAGTTTTTCTATTGATCCCGAAATATGCTGAAGAATTTTGACGGGAGTTTTTAAGATTTGGGTACANTGATTGTTGAGCCGGAAGGCTTTCCAGTGGAGCAGACGCGAAGCAAGTTTATCTGCGCCCAGGGTAAACAGCTTTATTCTTCCCCCAGCGAAGCCTTGGCAGAAATTTTGTTTTCGCTTTTGCGTCAGCATGCCAAGTAGCCGAGAGCGCTGTAATATTTTATATTCCAAATTCTTCTTGACCCATTTATGCATTTCACTGCTGGACAGGGCTCGACGGTGACGAGGAAGGGAACGCGACGACTTGGGAATTCTCCGTCCCAGACAACGTGGTTCCGGACTCCGAACGCATGTTTGTTTTCGCTTCCGGAGATATTCTCGGCCCATCTCTTTCAGTGAGCTTGCATTTTCCTTCCTTCTTTGAAAATTTTTAAATTCTTTCAAGGATTGAAAATCAGTTTGCCACCGCCACAAGGGCCATTCCCGATGAGTGGAAAAATGTAACTGACAGCAACAAAAATAACCCTTAATGATGAGGAAATAATTATCCGCTTTGTGTGGCCCGTCTGAGGGAATATACATTTCCTGCGGTCCGGTGCAAACAGAGTTAGGTACATATTTGTATTGATTGGCTGAATGCTTGAGATTTTCATTTAAAATAAACCTCGCAAAATTTCCGTGAGCCTTGCAGCTGCTGTATAATTTCCTTGAATTATTTTCCGGACCAGCATTTCATGTTTTTGGATTCGACACTGGTCCGCGGATCACAAGTTGAGGAAGACTTATTTCGATGATGCCACCTTGTTCCAATGTTCAAAATTCATCCAGTATTCACCATTCTTTAGGCAATCTAAAATTCTGTCAATTTCTCACTAGAGCTCTTTCGTCACGCTCGTTGATTTAATTCAATCAGAAACTGCATTGGACAAAAGTTATTCAGGGGAGAGCTGTGTTCAACGGAGGCTTGTGATTTTAGAATTATTGATCACAGATCTATAAAGGCGGGGTTTTCCTGTTCAGTATACAGTATTAGTTTAAAGCATACGCTTTTTGTTTGTATGTTCTGTTCTGCTTACCCTAACTTGTCTCACGCCTACATGAACAGCCCCTACACCCACATTATTTTGCACTGGTCCAAAGGCGGCTGCTACCACATAGTATAGGCACATCATGTGTTAGTGTGAAGCGAAAGAAATATCGCGTCTGTCTCGTTCATTCATCTTCGCTGGACATGATGACCTGGGTATATGATGAGGTCTTGGTTTAATCTACTTTTTTCAAGAACCTGGAAAGCTTGGTCCTTGACGGACAGCCGACACCACTCGTTTTGTACCAAGAAAAGCGAGGGTTGTAGGTGCACTACTTCATAGACTCGTTCTGCTTAGTTGACCTAGGACGGTAGTTCCTTGCTGAGGACGCATTGTACGCAACCGGTAATGAATTTGTTTCATATTATATAATTATGGTGCGGTTTTTATTTGAATCGCACTATATGTTCATACCATTTATTTAATTTTTAAAGAATTTATTTCATTCGCATTAATTTTTTCTAAATGTTTTCTGTACATGTTAACACATTTTAATGCATTATCTATTTTATTGAGAACTGCATTCCGGTGAGAATCGAAATGGCTAACTGCGGTTTTGGAAGCTGTATTGTAGTTAATGAGTACATGTGTGATCCGAAGAATAATTATGGTTGATTTATAAAAATTGTAAGAACGTTTCTTCTACCTTTGAAAAATTAAAATGGAACTCTCAGAAATAGTTACGGATCAGTTTGGTAATCAATCAACCAAAAAATTATTTTCAAAATTAGAGAGCCCTGCACTTATAGGTCTTGGAGGAATTTTTAATGTAAAATATTTTAGCCGATTTCGAAATGCGAAGCTTGACGAGAGAAAAGTGCCAGAAAAAAACATCCTAGGGATATTTCCCTGAGTGAAACTCGCAGAAAAAAATCTTACGGTTCAAAATTCTTGAGTTTTCGATGATACGGAATGAAATTCGCGTGATAACCCCATCTATTTATTCTTTTTTTTTTAAATATGTAGTTTAATGAAGGAAATGCAACCGACTGGCATATTAAAGAAAGAAGATGCGAAGAGATAATAATTACACATGTGCAGTATGCATCCAGTGGTACGAGGTCTCATTTGATGATTTTTACTGAAAATAGTTTTTCGTTCGCGGATTTGATACCGTAATCTGACCCAATTTCATCGCTTTCTGTTTGAATATTTGGATTTTCAAATCGAAGAAAAGTATTTATAACTATACTTTAGCGAACAGCTGAACTTCCATAAACTTTTTCCAAATAGCGTCCCGCATTTTTCTTCGAAATTCATGAGGTCATTTATCCATGTTTGAGCTGTCGAAAAAGTCCGGAACAAACTTTTTTTTATGAAAAAGAATGGTAACAACCACGCA